GAGCGTCCCAACGGGGATTTCACGAGGATGTACCCGAGGGGAAGCGTCAGTCACCCAAGCAGGCCTGTGGGCTGACGGCTGAAGCACAGAGGCCACATATTTGATCAAAGCAGGTTTTTATATCCCTCTCCTGGAGCTGGCAGGCTCCCTGCGAGCGGGGTCCCACCGCACCGAAGGGCCGGGTCAGGAAATCGGATCGTGCTCCCGCAGCTCTAAACAGAAGTAGCGGGCTACAGGTCTGACTTTGAGGAATAGCAACGTTAACGTAAGAAGCAGAAGAAAAGATAAAAGGCAAACAGTTCGCGCTAGAGACCTCTTTTCTGCCGATGAAAGGGCAAAGTATAAAAATCCAGCCTGGCCTACGGTACAGGGAGCTGAAGGAACCAGCAGAAAACCTTCGTTCTCTGAGCAAACAAGCAAACATCCAGCACAGGCTAAACAAACAGTCGGTGTCTGGGAGCACTTTCCTAAGCCCAGGGAAAAGAACAGATTTAATAACCATCCTGACTCCTCCCCATTTCACAGCAGCGTGCACCCTGAGTTTGTGCGCGGCTTACAGAAGTCATCGCCGCGGGTGAATTTGGGAGGGAAGTCAGGTAGTGACAGAGGCATATGTCACAAGGTGGACTTAGTTACAAGAAGAAAAAGAAAAAAAGGAATCAGGCCTCTATGTTTGCTAGTCTCATACTTGCAGGTCCAGTAGCCAGGAACTTTGAAAGAAACGCTTCTGTGGAGGAAGTTGCACTTTGAAGCAAGATTCTAACACTGTCACTCACTGTCCCCCCACCTCCTCTTAACATCTTGAAAAGATTTCCTGAATACCAGCTCTCCAGGACCAGCATATTCACAACCAGCACAACCTTACTGTATTGGTGTGTTCTTCTCGACTCACCAAGAAATTAGTCACAAAAATTGCCAAGGCACTCATTAGAAAGGCCCTCCCAGAAATCTAGGAGCAAATGCCCAACTCTCCCGCAATTATACTGACCACGAACACCTGGAAGTGGGCACAGGATTTCTTTAGTAGCAAAACACACGGGGCTTAGAAAGAGCAGAGCAAACATGCTGCCTCTTGCAACTTCATCTAAGGTGAGAGAGCTGTGACTAGTGAAGCCAAACACTCTGACAGGTGGTATGAAGCGAGAGAGCACCAATGGAACTGTGAAATCAGCTGTGATCTTAATTCACTGCTTTCAGCATCTTAATCAAGACCAGTTTACAGAAGCAAAACAGGAGGGGGCTTTACTTTTAACTCAACCTATTTGTGTTTGAGGACACATATAAAGCTGTTTGGTTAAAGCCTTTGGACCATGTGTAGAAGTAGGGCTTGTAACTGATGGTGTCGATAAGGGAAAAACAAACAAGCCAGCAAGCCTCTGCTCAAAAACCAAGGCCTGTATAGAGAGCGATTCTGCAGAAATGCCAGAGCACAGCTTACACTTTTTCCCAAAGCAGGCTGCTGTGGCTTGTCACAGGTATCAACAGTAACCCAAGCCAGAGAGCAGTCAGGCTCAGTTTGCACGGGCTCAGCAGTAGGATAGAAGCTTACAGCAGGCTTTCAGCAGCAGTCCCACGCTGCTGGGAGGAAACAGACATCTCAGAAATGTCTCCCTTATTCTCTCCTCTGCTAAAAGTACATCGTTGTTAGCCAAGATAAGTGGGAAGCTCTTAATTCCATTTTCCGGTGTGTGCGGTGGGAAACACAAGTTTATAGTAATAAATATAGGCTCTGCGTTCAGACTTCCTAGGGGAATTTAAACCAGAGACATCGAAAAGCAGATTTAGAGCAAAAATGAGAAAATATCAGTTATTTCACATGCAAAATTTAATTAGCTGATGCAACCCACTACAGCCAAAACATAAGCGGGGTTCAGAAAAGGATTAGACATTCACATGGGTAATGAGGCTATCCAGATCAATGAGAGAAAACGAAATTTCCAAAACACAATCTTATTTCTATTTTTTAAAGCATAAAGCAACCTCTGGCAGATGGATGTTGGAAAAGGCTCCTCAGGGCAGGCTGTTCCATAATTTCCTCCTTAATTTTACTGCATCCACTTTTGAAGCACTGTTGCTTACAGGAAACTAAATTAAATATAGGATGAGGCTAGAGTAGCAATTTTCTGTTTGGAGTTGTATATAGGGAGATTTGTTAAGGAATTCACGGACAGTGCACATTCCTCTCATCCTTATTAACACAAGTGTTAAGACTATTGCTAGAAACGTAACAGAGTATTTCAGTATTATAGCCGCTATGGAAGATGACTGGCAAGACATTTAATGGTACAGAAAGTGAGTGTAAGCCACACAAGGGGAGAGTGCAAGCCCTGGGAACATTCACTAGATGAGTTAGGTGAAGCATAAACACAAAAGCAACCAAAAGGAAATTAAATCAGTTTTGTACAGTCCACTGAAAAACTTCAACGAATCACCAAAGGCTGCAAGCCAGCCTTTCAGACTAGGACGTGGTTCACTAGCATTTCAAAGTCAGGGACTCTTTGACACCAACTCAACCCAGGCAGTGTGCACAAACCACCGTTCCAGCTCTCACCAGTGGTGAAAGGAACCAGCTGGGGTACTGGGTAGCCCTGAAAGCAGAAGCCATGGCATGGCAGCCTTCCATGTCCTCCTCTGGTAGGTTCAGTAAACACCAGGTTTTGAGCTTGCTACATTCTTCTAGCACTGAACATTTTAATAAGCAATAGAGATTCATGGTATTACATCCACTGAATGCAGGGCTGATCCCTGGAAGACCACGCACACACTGAGAACACATACTCTACTAGAACTCATGCCAGACTATATCTCTTCTACAGCAGCTTGTTCTTTCAGTCACTCCTCGGCCGAGGGCGAATTCTTGTCTTCGTTGTCAGGCATATCTTTTAGCTGTTGACGAGCGAATTCCTCAAATACCAGCTCTACTTCACTGAAATGCAAGAAACACAGGTCTTTCAAAATCACGTTAGCGATTTTTTTATACCAGTAGACTAAAGGCAACACACAGGAGGAAGAGGAGGAACCTGGAGCAGCCTCTGGTAATGTTTCCTTTGTCTTCAAAGGGATTTGGATTACATTTCCACAGGCACCGTCTTCACTGGTGGTATCCTAGCTAGCATGAAAAGCAGTTGATTGAGCTAGATAGGACAAACTGAGGAAGTTTTCATCTGTACTGAATCATGCCCATTTCAGCTAAATATTTATCAGCCAGCTGAATAGTGTGCAGCCTGAAAGGGTGTTTGCCTAGAAATAAAATGTGAAACTTTTCATCCTTATTCCTTCTGTACTAAAATAGGGGCACATGGTCCAATCTAATGGAGTTCCTGACATTTAGAGCTACAGAGCATCAGCTGACCATGAACATGCATGCCCCTCCAACGGTGAGGCAAAACATGATTTTTTTTAAACTAGTTTCACATGAGCAAGCGTTGCTGTTCAAGCTGAAAGCAGCAATTTGTCAAGCCCCAGTAACTTACTCACTTGGGATTTAAGCTCATACTCTGTGAATCCTGTGGATTTTTGGATAACTTTGAGGACTTTTCAAAGAGTCAATGCACACCTGCAGCTAGAGTGTGAAATATTAAAAGAAACTTACCTATCCTTCTCTGCAGTCATCAGCACGCAGCAAAGGAGGAAAAAGGCACACCAAGTAGTTAGAACAGTGCTAACTGAAACTAGCAAAAATTTATAAACTGACAAAACAGTGACAAACAGTAGGATTTGCAGCAATACAAAGAGAATTCCAGAAAGTCTCAAATGTGTGTACATGCACCTGATGAAGCAAAAGTTGATCTCCTTAATGGAAAAGCACTGTAGCAATGTTGTCCAAGATATCATAAGGGCATGTCATAAGGAAAATGAAGACAGATTTTCCCATTTAGGCTTGCTAGGAGTCCCAGCTGTGAGGCACATCTGTGCACACACTTGTACACAAAATGACAGTGCTTGTGTGACGTGATATAAGTCTTACTTGGTCTGTCACTGTGATTTAAGCAGCCAGGTGATGAAAAGATGATGTTCTTTTTCAATAAACATCAAGATACTAAAATCAGAGGTCAGAACACAGAAAGGCCAAGGTGGTCTCTCACTAGATAGGTTATGCACTTGAGGCAATATGCCCAACTTCATTTAACCCAAGACCTTCAGCACTAGTGTTTCTTTAATGGCATCTTTGCTAACCACACCATAACGAAGGCCTGCTGGCTAGCAGGAGTCCCTGGGAGCTGTTTCAGCACAGCCTAAAATAAGCAAAACAGACTGTGTTGCAGTGATCCAATGAGGGCAGGGAATTTTGTGTTCTCACAGTTACTTTATCTTTGGCAAATAACAGTCGCTTCACTGGCTTACTTCTCACGAGTTGAAGTCAGGGAGCCAAGCGCAGCTAGGCCATCGCGCTACAGAACTCACCAGGGATCTGGGACGCTTCACTGACTGGGTAACTTGCTACCTGGAGAATTCCTACAATGAACGCATGCTGAAATCAAGGGCAATAAGTAGCAACTAGCACTGCTGGAAAAATCAGAATTAAAAATGTGCCAGATGGGGCCACTCTAGTCAAAATGCCTCAAAGGATGGATCATGTAAAGACATTTGTGAGGGTGTCTCTCCAGACTTGAAAAGGATGGTTTCATCTACCCGCAGAAGCCACGATGAAGGCTGGAAAGTCTCAGGGCATGCATGCTTGACTGAAATGCATTTAAAATGACATATTTAGAACTTTTAAAATTTCCAAAGCATACAGTATCATTCTAATTTCATTTTTTCTACCAATTTTTATCCTTTAAATAGCCTGCTTTCTTTCCCCACTTTGAAGTACGTTCATTATTATGGAAACAGTGACACCAGTGATGTGGGTGAAGCCAAGTGAGCTACCTACCAATGCAGTTTGAAGGCAATTTTACAAAACAGGTTGGCAGGAGGAATATGTATTCTTTTGCTTTACGGTCAGATAAATGCCTACTGAATCAGTACAGAGGTAACGTGGCAGTAGAGTAACCTATCACATACCTCAGATGTAAGATTACAGTAAAAGATGCACTACTTTACCTTCAGGCTGCTATACTGCTTGTTAAATGGCTGCATTTTCACCCTGTCAGGAGTTAGGTCCGCTCCACCTAGTTCTCTTGCCATTGTGTGGCTTATTCAACATTATCATATTGAAAAATCTTCAGGCACCTGAATATTGATAGACTTTTCCTGTTTTTAACTAGTATGCCAGCAATTGCTTTGAGGGTTGGGATGGGAGGGGGCTGTGCTCAAGGATCGATGAGGCTCCAGAATGTCATCATACTCTCTCTGCAGAGGGTTTTCTGTAAGCTTTTAATATGCAGCCACAGAAATGATTCCATATAATTAAAGTTGTGGCATATGGTAATTTTCATTAGAAGCATGCATGCTGTTAACCTCTCTTAACCTTATGGGGGGAAAAAGAAGAGAGTAGGCTGTGCTGTTTGTCAAGATATACAAGTGCTTTAAAAATTCACTAATTTCTGAAAGTTATAATACTAATACAGGGCAGGTATAGCTTTACTACTAAAGGGGCAAAGCATTTACAGGTTTCTTGAAGCCAGCCCTTTCATGCAAGTTTAAACAAGGGAGCAGATGAATGACCATTTGTTGAACAGCAGCCAAAACAAAAGCCAGTGTCCAAGGCATAGGCCTACAAAACGTAAAGCATCAGGAAAAGGGCAGGAAAACCCCAGACCAAAGAACTCATGCTGAGACCACAGCTTTGAGAAAAACCCAGCAGGATCTTCTGAGCTGACTGCTGACCTGGAACAGCCTCAGAAGCATGAAGACACAGCCCAGTTTGAATCTATCTTTAAAAGAAACAGAGCTCTATACATTTTTGTCAGCAGGCGGAAGAGAGAGCCTGCCAATGTGACAGGAGGTGCTTTGCCTAAAAATAACCACCTGTGAACCACATGGGTCCAAAACCAGTTGCGAAACCAGCACACATGAAACATGCAAACACTGACCTACAAGAAGTCAAGACAAGGAGGCTATAAATAAACGTGGAAAAGAAAAGGTAGCAAGCTGTTCCTTTTCCATCTCCTCCAGGCACAGAAAAGAAAGATCAAGCAATCTGCAATAGCCTTGCACTCTGACAGACCTGCTTTTCACCGAGTGATGAGCGCTTCAGAGCTTGCTCGCAGACAAGTAAAAAGGGCAAAGCAATCTGCCCTGAAATAAAGCACGCAGCAGTTGATCACACTTGTTCCAGTTTGGCCCTGAGCAAATTAAACAAGGCTCTTGAGAAGCTGCTTGTTCTGAGGTTCTCTACACTTGGATCAGCCGTGCATGATTAAATATACTGATGCTACACGCTTGATTTACTTTTGTCATAAATCAGCTTGGCTAGAGAAGGGAAGAGGATATTACCCCACTGCAAGGAATAAATCTCAGTACACAGCATTATTAAATCCCATTTTAGCTTTGACTTTTATGAAATGGTTGCTAGGATTTCTTTCCCTTCTCTCAGCAGTGTCTTAAGATGAAATGACAGACAAGTAAGCAGGGAGGTGCAATAGGCAAACTGGTTACTACTGACTCATCAGTAAAAACAAAACAGAACGGAAAAAGAAGATAACAAGTGATCTCAAAATTCCCTGTGCATGCACCCCTGTCTACACCCACTGCAGAGGCTGCTGAACAAGCCAACAAAGAAAAATTTCATCTTTTGGGGCCTTTGAGAGTCTAAACAATTTATTTTTTTTGCAGCTCCATCACTGCAATTAAGTCTTGATTTGCCCAATTCCAAATTAGATGGTATTTCACTAATAAAACACATTTTATTTCTCAGTTTATGAACTAAAGTGGTAGAACAAAAATTTTTGAAGTGTGAACTCATAATTGGGAAGAGTGATTAGGCACAGCGCACGGAAAACTACCAGCCCATAATTCCAGAAAGAGTTTTTGTTTACCAGCTTTATATGGGAAACTGTTTTATTCCCCATAATGAGCTCAGACACCACATTCTAGCACAGTTCTTAAGTCAGATATGCAGGCTTCAAAAGAATTTTACGTTGTATTACAGTATCTTTTTTTAAGAGAAAGCATTTATTTCTCGAGTTAACTGTCTGGAGGACTTTCCCATGGGATAAGCTCCTGAAACTACCTGTATTTTTTTTCAATTTGTAAGAAACTCGCAGTTTCCATCTGCACAAAATACATGAACCGTAGCTGTCTTCTGACGGCAAGCTCCTAGAAGACTTTGATGTAGCAAACAACACGTGGGCTGTGCCTTTGGTAAGAGGATGTGTTGGGGGAAGTGATCTGAGAAATATTGCAGTTCTCCATTTCCCTTGTAAAGTCTTCTGCCCACATCCTTTTGAGTGTACTATATAAAGGAGTATATCAGCTGTCCTCTGAAATGATCTTGGAAGGGAGAACTGCCTGACTTCCATTTTTCCTCATATTATAAATGTTTCTGCCAGAGTCATCTGCCTGAAGCATAAGCAGTAAAAAAGGGGGCTGCAGCGTTGTTAACACCAAAAAATGTCACGTAAAAGAAAAAATTCACACCGTTCTAAAAAGGCAAAATTCTTTACATTTGCCTAAGCTTTCGGATGATCCTTGTTTGAAGTTTTCAAACTTTCTTTGTCTTGAATCTCCATGAAATTTGCTCCAGATTTTGCAGCCCTGAGCTGCCCCACCAGCACCTCTGCCCTGCGACGCTCCCATGGACACTAGATGGCCCCCACCAGCCACTGCTCCTGGGGCCACTGATGCCAGTTGAAGCCACTTCTGGGCAGAGGGATTGCTGCAGGGAAGCCAGAAGAAAATGCTTTTGTACGTACAAACTACCAGAAGAGACAGAAGACCCTTGCCAAAGCGGCTCTCCCACAGTGAGTCACCCATCTGAGATGACGATCAAGCACACGGCAATGTCAGCGTTCTGCTGGCAGAGCTTCACCGGCCTGCGGCAGGGGAGGGAAACCCAAAGCACAGGCACAGCTATGCCAGCAACAGCTACCTTCATCCACTCCAGCACATCCATAATTAGCAAACACTGATTGCCAGCCAGAGCAACCTGAGTGTGAATGGATCACCAGTCTCCCTTCTCATCACTCACACTTGGTTCCTCCAACAATTTTGCACAATAAGGACTCAAGTGGCTCCTTTCTAATGCTTCCAGTATAGAACAAAGCACCTATCCCAGGATAACTCTTCTCACAGGTTCCACCATCACCTTCTAGCGGTCTTAGTCACAGCAGCTTTAGGTAAGTTTGAGCCCAAAGAAAAATGTAAAAAAAGAAAAAGCAGTGCAGCAATAGCCATGGGTTTTCATTTGAAGTCCGTGCAACTCTGTCCAAATATAGAGGGCAGAACAAGATGGCTCATCTGTAACATCCTCAACCCCGTAAGGCTGGCATAATGCTTTGTGTTCAAAAGCTGCCTCAGATGCTGTAGAGGAGCTTCTGATTTAGTGCAAGCACCTTGCTTGTTTTCTGTGTTCAGCATTAGAGAACAGAGCCAGCCAGGGCCTGAGGAAATGGGTGGAGAACACAGATGCTCAAGACAGTGTGCAGCTTTGGCATCTGATCTCAGGCCTCGACATGCCTGGGGAAGGCTCACTCCTTACACTGCTTTAAAGTTCCCAGTCTTTTATTTACTGACGTGACTTGGAAGAGACATTCCTCCCAGGTACCCACTGAACAAAAAGGCCACAGCACAGACATTATAACCAATGCCATATCAAGATGACAGGGACTCTAAAATCACAAATGGATTTATCACCTCTTAACTTGATTAGAAGCATTTTACTTTTTATAATGCTCATGTATCTTAGGTGTTTTCCATTACTACAATCTGGCTGGGAATTGCCAACAGCTTCATTTGGGACATTTTGCACGATAATCATGACATCTAAATGCAGCACTTCCTCAAGCCCCTGTGATTTGAGCTGTGATTCCATGGATGAAAGATAAAAAGGGAACTGACCCATTTCCACCTTCTCCCATCTTACCATCCTTCCTCCCTGTTATTTTGTGCCCTGAGGTTGAGATACGTATACACATATGTCCAAAGCAGCCCTCATACCGGAGTCTTGCGGACTCTAAAGGCGTCCTGTAGATCAAACCATTATAAATCTTGCACTGCTAAGATTTTACTTAAGTCTGATAATGAAGAAAGGCAAAAACCAGGTGTAACAGACCTGCTGGGTTCTTTTCCTCAGGTTTGGGGTGCATGAGACGAAACGGCAGCTCTGTGCCCACTTCACTTTGGGAAGAAGAGAGAACGCATCAGATCCACAGCTCCATTCATGTCTGGTTCCGTTTCCTTCCCACCTCAGGCCAGCCCAAGCCCTGAACTCCTGCTTCACTCATTCTTTCATCTTTTTCTAATCATAATTTTCCCCCCTCAAAAAGCATTTTATTCTGATTTCTGCACAAATATCCCAGGCATGTCCACTTCAATAAACTGGGTTTATTATGTGCTGAATGTACTTGCACGTATGTAAAATCAAAGACAGTTTTGCAACTGCTTCATTTTAACACCCGAATGTACAGACTTCTTAATTCTATCAGCTTAAGGGATCGGTATTATTTTAGGGAGATGGGAAAAAAATAGGAGAGAGGGTAAAAAGTTGAATTTGTAACTATGACTGCATGGTCTGAAAAGGAAGATGACATTTACCTGGAGGTTAGGTCTCCCAGCACGCTACAGAAGAAAATAAAGAGAAACACACAAATGTATTTAGTGCCTTTCCATTCCAGTGCTCTACTAAATGCTGTTTAATTGGTGGACTATCAAAATCATCTTCCTCATATATTCTTCTCTACTGGCCACAAGGCATAGCATCCAAATAAACTTGTTTTTATAAAAAAGTTATTTTCATTTTTCATGTCCCTCCCATGTAGAAAGTTTAAGTTTTTGAACTCCTGATCAAGCGTTAGGCATGGCTCCTTTTTCTAAGAGCCAAAGGGCAAGAGCAATTGGAGGACCACAGAAGGCAGCAGTCATTTTATCATTCTTTAGGTAAATCATTGAGTAATTTTCATACTACAAAGAAGGACAGATGAATGCAATAAAGATCTAAACAGTGACTATTATCAATGGAAATTTATTATCCTCATCCTCTTTTGCACTGTATGCTGGGAACTAGCTCATATTGATAACATCATCTTCTCCCAGTAATTATGACTCTCAGGGAGATGTCTCTACCTTCTGCTCTGGGAGAATAAGAATACCAATGTAAAAGCTCACAAAATTTCACTTGAATTCTCACAAAATAAACTATGGTTTTTGAAATAAAAAATTGCAATGCAAACCAGAGTTTCATGCCTCAGCTTTGAAGCATCTAAGGAAGGTAGTCCAACTCTTCTGGTTCAGGACAACTTCCTTGGTTAGACCAAGATTGATTTCCAGACAATTTATGCTTCAGAGGGAGCCCAATGTCCTACAACATGTGCCCTTTCTCCTGCCCTCTCCTCACTTGTCAATGAAATACACACACACTCCCCTCTCTTTATGCAGATGTAGCAAAAGGTCTGTTACCCTTACCCTGGAACAGTGAGCTTCACTTTGACCTTGTAGGAAACCAGAATCCCCATCACAGTCTTGTCTATTCCATCCTTAACACTACAGAGAAAACAGAGAGCTGTGTTAGGTGGCACAGCAACATAGCAACAATATATGGCTGGAGCAAGAATGAGGCGAACGTTCCATTCTTCTGAAAGTAATAGAGCAGACAAGCCTCACGGAGAGCAAATACCTCTCCAGATCTGTATCCAGCTGGACACACGTTCACGGGTACAAACTCCCGATAGAAGTCATAGCAACAATATATGGCTGGAGCAAGAATTAGGCGAACGTTCCATTCTTCTGAAAGTAATAGAGCAGACAAGCCTCACGGAGAGCAAATACCTCTCCAGATCCGTGATAACTATTTACCCTGAAGGAATACAATGGAGTAAGCAATGCAACTTAAATGTATCCAGCTGGCCACACGTTTATGGGTACAAACTCCTGATAGAAGTGTTTTCTCCATCCTCCTCTCTTCTTTATAACCCTCCACTACCTGGAACCATTCGAAACTCTGCTCACATAGTGCTAGAAGCCAAGTTGGTGTCCTCATCCTTTAGCTTTCCATCCAGGGCTATTTCTCGTGTCTCCCGGTTATTTGCAAGCAAGGGCAAAAGTGTCAGCGTCTTGGTCAGGCTGCTGTTTGGCTGCACCTTCTCCCTGAAAATAAGAAGTGGGTGAGTGGAGGAAAGCAATATGTGTATCCCAACAAAGAGGATTTCAAAACAGATTACAAAGCTGTCGAAAAGGAGTGGAATTTATCTGTCCAACTCTAGTTGTCTACAACATGGATGTCTACATCTAAAATACTTTAAAATTTCCCTTTACAATCAGAAGAGATGAATAATCGCTTGCAGAAAATTATTTCTCATTAATTTCTCATTAAGGCAGACTTAAGTAAGTCAAAACTATGCTGCAGACCTCCAAATTTGGACAAAATTAATCCTAGTTGAGAAGACCAGTACTCAATGAAAACATGTCCTTAAGCTACAGAGCCAAATACCAGAGAAATACAAAGCATCTGGGTGTGTCAAGTTCAACGCTGCACTGCCAGTACAGCACAACACAAAAGAGCAAGTGGTCCTTCACAGCGTCCACAGGCTCAAGGCTTTCATGTGCTTTCTAAGGGGAGAAGAAACCAAATGAAGTGGTGTGAAAAAGCCTGGCCTCAAGCTAGAGAATCCATGACTTCTACTCAATCAGCAGCAACTTTCAGAAAAAAGTTGCATCTCTAAAGATTTCAAGCAATGGGGAGTCTTCCCGTACCACTGCTAAGTTTTTCTAGTAGGTAATTACTCTTCAAAACTCTTCTGCAGTGTCTCCATTCTCTGAGAAATAGCGTAGGGTCCCTACTAAGTGAAAAGGAGACCAGCTGCATCCAGAGAATATGGGTGGTGCAGGGGACACTCATACACAAGGTAAGAGGAGAGAGCCCTGTAAGAGCAGGTAACTGCCAGACTATAGTTGGGAGTACCTCCCATTCCTGAGGAAGAGGGTGATTATGAGAGTGTGAAGGAGCAAGAAGGGATAAGCACTCACTGTGTTTCCTCAGAAGCTACCACTTTTGTATAGTAGTCACTGGAGTACAAAACCACATTGGCAACCTGCTCCACTGAGAGAGAAAGGAGAAAGCAAACAATCAGTTGTGCAGACACATCAGAAACAACATGACTGCCCCCTGCCTCGAGACTTAGAAGACATGAGAGGGACAGCAGGAAAACCCACTCATTTCGAGCCTGATGGGACCACCACGTCAGACAGCCTGACCTGCACAGAGACCAATAGTACACAAATGGCTAAAGTAATTTTTTCCTTGATTTGGAGATGACAAAAAGTCAATAACCCATGGTTTCCACTGGGATCCTGCTCTTTCCAGTAAAAAGATCTCCCTCTTTCTTTTCAAAGTGCATCCGCTTTTATCTTCTGACACTGCATATCTATAGCCCATGCATTGGCATTCTGGAGATACCATCATCAAGGAGATGGCAGTCAAGAACCTGTGACAATAAATGGCTTATAATCTCTAGTCAAATACCAGAAAAAATAAAGTAATTGAGTGTAACACCAATGAAGGAGAACCTGGGGACCAACAAGGTCTGTTTAAGTCTAACAGAGGCGCGTCAGCCTAAAAGTATTTGTGAATCAATAGACAGCACATCCAAGATTGGCACTGAACTGGCTTTCCCTGATAAAGTTTTGTAAAAAAACTCAGCAATTTTGCGTCCTCCCTGTCTTGTCTTTCTCATCCTTTGTCTCTCAGACTCTCTTCCTCAGGCCCAAGTGCAATGGGGCCCGTAGGATGAAAACATGCAGTGCCACAAATAACACCCCCACAGTATTAAAACTCCCCTGAAACTCAGCCCCTGCCCTTAGCTTCCTCAGGAGGAATTACACCATCGCTGGCAGAGCGGCTGCTTCTCACAGTGCCAGATGTTTCTGAAACCCCTGGGCACAATTGTGTGCAACCTCAGCAAACTCACAGTTAGCAGGAGCATCTCATTGTCAGAGGATCTCCTCCCACTGGCCTCCATGACAGCTCCCCGAAGAGGTGGCGTTTTCCCCTACAGCACCTGCCTTGCCCACTGTAGCTGCCAGACCATTTCTCTTTACTAGAGGGGACACACTGAGGCCTGAAATTAAGCCCTCTCAGTAACCACAAGTCAGGAAAAAGCTGCAGTGTTTCTCTTAATGAAGAGCAAAGAAACAGCAACAGACAGGGTGGAAGGACAAATTTCTGACTTGTCCCAGACTGCCTGCTCAAGCTGTTGCAAGCACTAAATTCTGGCTCTCTTTCAGTCTGCTCACCATTCAGTCTTCTCGCCCGCACGGAATCCCAAGCAGCAGAAAAAACATACCCTGGACTTTGATCTTCTTCACCGTTTTCTCTGTGTTGTTGTTGATGGTGACAGTGACTGGAATGGGCTCGCCATGGTAGTACACCTGGAAGGAATCTGATGCTCAGAACCGCAGCCGGGAGGCTTCTCCTAAGTCTTAAACCCCTTTAGTCCCTTCAGATTAAATCTCTTCAGAGACCAGATAAGGCAAGATGACCCTTCCCAACAATTCATGACCCTTCTTCAGTGACTTATTTAGCCTCCAATGCATCTGGTAACAGGGTCTCAGCCCCCTCTAATAGTAGCTAAAGAAAGAAATTACATTAGAGCCCCTGAGTGCTGGGACAAGTCAGTCTCAGCTAAGACTGAATAATACATGAAGTAGCTGCTTTGGGCAGCAAAATGCATATTGATATGCCAATACAATGATGTCCCACGCAGCCCCAAACTCCTCACCTCTTTACTGAGGCAAGCTTTCAAGTGCAACGGCTTGTTGGACATGAAGAACTGCCAGGTGGTCTCTGTAGAAGGTTGGGGTCCTGGTTGTTCTGGAGCGTATTGCACCTTACGGATCAGCAGACGTGCAGAGTTCCTGGGAAGTAGCAGTGGACAATGTGGTGGTATGTTGTACTTGGCAGAGGCAGGAGTTCTGCATTTATGCATTCTTATGCCCGGGAAGTCCACCGACAAGTGGGGCAAAGCTGAACAACCAACCAAGGTACTGCACCACCCACTCCCTTTAAGAAGGGCAGAGCTCAAGACAGACACACATTTTTTTACCTCTTATGAATTCTCTCTTCCACATTCTCTGTTGAGAAAGCTTTCACCTCAAAGTCCACCCCACAGGTCTGCCAGAGAGAGAGAAGACAGCTGTGAAACCAGGGTCAGAAGCCAAGAGCATCTGCAGGTGTTTAAATATCTTTCTGTACACCAGAAAATGTCAAAGTCCTGCCAACCGCAAACCCTTCTGGCCTCCTACCATTGCAGTAGAGATGTCACCCTAACTGGTGTGGCAGCATCCACCTGTTTCATGCTGCTTCTGAGAAATGAGGCTTAATTCCAAGCCTCGGACAGATGACATCCCTGCTCCTAAAAGGCTTTCTGGGAGAACAGTGCAGTAGAGGTCACAGCATGCTACAGGTTATAAGACTGACCAGCCTGCAAGGCTCTCCAGTCCACCTTGAATTTCTGAACTGAATTGCTCAATCGGTTTTGTAATGCCGATACCTGAGCTGGGTCAACTTCTTCCACAGAGTCTAAGGAGTGGGAGTGATCAGGCCAAGCTGACCTTTGCTTTAACAGGTTTATACCACCACAGGACATCTGTGTGAGTCCTGGATAACTCTCTAGAGAACAGTACAGGAATTTTTGCCAGAATAACATTCCTTGGCTAAAAACTACAGCTTATCCTTGTTGCACTGGACTCTACAACCTGCATCCTACCTTGCTTGGCTGTTAGCCTAGCACTGCTGTTCAGAGAAGCATCCAGTAAAGTATAAAAGGATTTTAAATGGTGTCAGAAATTTTGCAGAATATCTCATTATCTGGTGACTTTTACTCCAGGGTTTTTGGTTTGGTAACACACATGTGCAAGCCATCCTTTCTCTGCATTTGTTTTAATTCAGAAGGAGGTCTTAACACATACTATTTATAGTGATCTGTAAGATTTTAGACAGTTTCCTTTTTTTCTCATATAGCCTGACAGCTACAAGCATTTTATGTGCAGCCGACCCACAAATCATGTGGTATCCTTAAGGGCACTGCAGATTTAGTAGTCTTGCTGCTGTTTGACTAGATTTCCTTTCTTATTCTGAGAACTTAAATTCCAACTCCGTGACACACACTTGTAGCTCTTAAGTCAGGTTGCTGACATTTGTGGCACAGCATAGTAAAATCCAATATCACCTTATTCTGCTCTCAAGCTAGTCAAATAAATTCACGTGACTTTTTCCACTTGACTTGCTTCAACCATGATAAGCACAAGTGTCCCATTGGTCTCACCTTGTCAACATCATGAGGTGCAGGCTGCAGACAGACTGAACAAGGCAGGTAATCTGGAAACTGTTGGGAGAAAGAAAAGGAAAAATACCATAAAGCAATATTACACAGATACTCTAGTTAATATATTGCTCACAAAAGGTACAAAGCCATCCTGAAGGCAACAGGCCACTCGCCGTAATGTGGTAACCCTTTAAAGTTCTGGTTAAGGTAAGGGCCTTAATATACTAGGTCTTATCTTGCCTGGTATAAACAAGTCCCTCTCTTTCAAAAACACTTTAATAGCCAAGAAAGGGAAGAAAAAAAAAGAGTAAAAACATAGTCCAGGTACACAAAGCACTTGGTCTAAAAATCAAACAAAGCTCCAGAAGCACAGCTTAGAGTAGAAGCTGCAACATCTACCTCCTCATCCAGGACGATCCATACAGCTCACAGCAGCAGTACTCACTGGTCGCACAAGATGAAGCTTGAGCAAAGCATCAGTATCAGACACACAACTAGGGCCACGAAACTCAGGCAGTCACCAGGCAGCATCCATTCGCTCCCAGCCTGGGCAGGGCTGGCAGCTCCAGACACCAACTGGGAAGGCTGCGGAGTAGCTCATGGGGGCTGAGTGCTAACACCCCATAAGGCACTGCAGCAAAGGTCACTAGATTGCATGAGTGATTAATAGTTACGGCAGGTAACCCATTTTGCAGAATCTTTTAAAGACGTAGTTGCTGCTACATCAGAGGATGTGGTTTTCAAACCTGGATCTTTCTAGGAACGGCTAAGGCAGACATGTCACTGACAGTACCAGAAGCATATCCTGTCAGAATTGGAATTTGGCAGTGAGCTGTTATTTGATGACAACATCTGGTAAAGAGCTTTTCATCCGTTTGTTCGATCCATACATTTGTTAAGGATAAAGGATTTGGCACTTCCTCTGTGAGCACTGAGTCAGTGGTATAAAGTATTCCAGCCCCTCGGGAATGGGGAAGACAAGGACGTATGGGGCTCTTGCTAGCATAAATTCATTGCACATTCCTTGCCTTTCCAAGGACTCTTCACATGCTATTGGGATATTCTTGTACTTTACCACTTAGGATGGCAAGGAAAAACACTGGTGCCTTGCCTGTCACTCAAAATGGGAACTTTGCATAACATGAATTCACCACTAATCCCCATCTTCAGCCCAGGACTCAGCAGCCTGGTAATAACAGACAAGGATAAGCGGGTCAGAGGCTCTTATGAGATACTTAACGTAAAGAAAAAGGGATAAGCATTTTTCCCCAGCTTCTTTAGCAGAGATTCCTGCAAGTGGGTGAGAGACTCTGGCTTGTCAGCAGGTGGGTACACTTGGACCCTAGAGAAGAACAGGTCCCGTCGGAAGGTGAGGCCAATCACATCGATGTCTTCCTGGCCATACCGGAAAGCACAGGTCAGGGACACATACACTGGAAAGAAGCACATGATGGGTGAAGCATGCACCAGGCTCACAGCGCAGCCGGGGGGGATGCAAAATCCTCCTGCACTAGATAATCAGGGAAACACCTTTCAACACTGCTGTATAACCCCGTAAGGATTCATACCATATGTAAGAACATAGATTATGTTGAGTAAAAGCCCACTCGCTGGGGAAGACAAAGCAATAAAAAAAATGTTCTACCTCAGCATCTCACTTCAAAAGAGAATTAACAATCTCTGAAACATGTGTTGCATAAGACCTCAAACCTTTTTTCTCTTTGATAACCGCAGGATCCACCAATACAACACCATCTGAAAGAAACAGAAAAATAAATAAAACAAATATTAACAGAGGATAACCAGGGTAGAGAGAGCCGGAAGGGCACTGTGTATCCTTGTGGACATACCTACAGGTTCCACATTCTCTATGTTATCAACGAAGTCCCGCTTTCCCAGGTAGATGGTCAGCTGTAGGGCAATAACCAGAGTTGAATTACAAAGTATTGATGGTTGTGTGCTTGCATGTTGGGGTGACAGGACACAGAGCAAAAATCACAGACTACAAATCTTGTAGCGATCACAACAATTGCATTTTAAATTGAATGTTTTTCCCCCCAGCAAACGTGCAAACTCCACCACACTCAACAGGATTTTTCACATGCTTCAGGATATCAGAATCAAAGACTTTGAAAAGTACAACATAAGTATTTGTGCACGAGACAAAGAACTATAGATTTGAAGATTTTTGGTCCCATCAGGTTGGAAAGACAATGAATCCACTTTGTTTTAAAACATTTACCAGCAGCAGTACAACCCAATAGGAGTGAGAGGCGAGTTGCCTTCCTCGTGTATTATAAGAAGCTTGCCCTATAAACTGTGTTTACATCATCTTCTAAACTTAGTGCTAAATACAGTTCGTGGTCCTTCAGAAAAAAATGAAGGGAACAGGAAAGAGTTTTCCAATACATATCCAGTCTCACTACAAGCAATACTCTTACCTATAAAATCCATTATTATGGTACTTACAGCTTTGTCACGGGAGCTTTTTTTGAAGATAACTTGAGGAGAACTAGCATTCTTCCCACTTGTTCCTGTCTTCCGAGATTCAGGGCAGCTCATGGTCAAAGATGGGTATGGGACTGCAGATGAATAAAAGCTTTTCTACCTCAAAAGGTCCTGGAAAAGATGTCAGGAAAAAAAATAGGTGGATGAGACAAAAGCGGAATTATACTTACTGGGCAAAGCACTCTACTCCCATGTACAGTTTACAGAAAAGATACTCGGGCACAGCACAGAAGGTGGGTTTCTTTTCATTTTAGCACTTCCTCATTAAAAACATCAAAACCACCCCCAAATTAAACATAAAGACATCTATTTAAAAACAGTTCTTCAGAAACATTACAAAAGACCAAGAACTATTTTTAGTTCATATTAAAAAAAAAAAAACAAACCAAACAAGTAGACTAACAGAAATATCTAGAGGAGAAAGGATAGGGTGGCCTTTGTAGAAAGTACATATACATATAGATTTTTGGCCGCTTTCAGGGTTTGGATTGTTTGGGCGGAAGTTACAGGAACAGGCACAGTTATACTTGGTATCACTCAGGAAGAATGTCTTGACATAAGCAGAGTAGTTATTAGGATATAAATAAAGCAAGCAGAGAATGTCATTTAGACCATTTCAGAGCCCCTTACATATCCACATCTTGGATATGGTATATTCAGCCCAAGGTGGTACATATCGGTAAGGAGTCAGACCAAACCCAGAATAAGAACTCGTCTGTCCTACTGTATCTTCTTAAATCAGAATCAAACACAACCTGTTACTTGCAGGGCATCATTGAACTTAAAACAGAACGGACCTTAAGAATGTAACAGTCCAGCTACCTGCCCTGAAAGGTAACAAGTATAACAAGGGGGAGGGAATAGATTGTACCCAAGGAAAAAGATTCTAAAGGAGAAAAAGCCAAAAAAGCAAACCACAAGAGATGTCCAGACAACTTGAGTGGTACAAAGCGGAGAGAGATTAGTTTTCCTGTTTTGTTGAAAGTCATAAAAAGTAGCATCCAGTTAAGTGATCAGACAGCAAATTAAAAATAAAGTGAAGCATTTCCCAACATAACACAAGATTCGAGAGTACAGCATGTTGGCGCAGAAGGCTCTGGAAATCACAAGTATTAATTCATTCACAGGATTAGACACATTCATAGGGAAAAGGCTTTTGGCAGATGTTGAACAGGATGATCCAAGTGCAACCTTAACCCAGTAAGACTCTGAAGCTGAGGAGCAGCATCAGGAAGGGATGATGCTATACGTGTCCTGGTTTTACACTTCTCCCTGTTGGACCTGTGTGAATGAGTGCACTGCGTTAGACATCTGGTCCTTGCTGTTGACTTCCATTCTATATTTCTGCTTATTTCCCCATTTTAGAACTGTTTCAAGAGTAGAAACAGTTTCTAGGGCCTATTTGCACACAAAGCGTAGAAAAAGGAAATACTTCTTAGAAGGCTGGTACATATTAGAGACTTCACGCATTTAAGAATCTCTATTCAAGTATAGCTAGGTTTTCCAAGTCCAGAACAGTCTTTGTTGTTGAACAGACACCTTAACTCATGATGTAGACCCAATTAAAAAAAAACCAGCAAATAACATTAAATACCTTGCTGTGTTCCAAATGTCACAGGAGCTGCCACAGGACAAAGACGTCAACTCCCCACCTACTGAAAAAAGATGAGTTTTCCACACAGCCGTGTCCTACATTTCTTCGCATCTACCAGAGGGAATCGCTAACCTCTTCGCAAACAAGACAATTTGTAGGAGATTTGGAAGTACGTCTCTAGTTGCGTCCATCCAGGATTTCAGGAATTAATCCCCCTTCAAGAGCAAATATTGTACCTGGGCTACGATTTAACTGCAAAGCGGTTAAGTCAGCAACATAAAGCATTACCTAAGGAAGCTGAGATGGTCAATGAAGAGGTCTACAATGTCATAGTCTCACGCTTTGTAAGGACTACAGACTTATATAGAACAGGATGGTTACTGAAAGCAGCTTTATTCTAAAGCTCTTCCTCTATCTTCTCTTTCCTCGGGTTGCAAGCCATCCATCCTGTTAAGCTGAACAAACAAGAGCCATTTATGAAACAAGGAGTTTATGAAACACCAAAACAAGTCCCTATAAATAGATGCCATTAGGAAGGACTACTAAACATTGAGCACAAAGCGTTATTCTCACAATCACTAGCAGTTAATCCATTACTGCTCCACGAACGTCCCATCGGCATGCTGATACAAAACAGTACATTGCTAGCTATTGCATCTCCCCTCCTTCATTTACTTACAGAATCAGGCACAACACCCAAAATGTAAGACACACAAACAGAGATTTCAGTCGATTTAGCTTTTCTGTTCCTGAATGCCCCAACAATAGCTTTTTTCCCGTCCATGATTTTGGTCCTGATATTACGAACGACAATATGCATAATTTTTGGCTCGCAAACAGCTGTAGCTTTCCTCTGGGCTGCATCTGTTAGTTTGATTACGAAGATCATATGATATCCTCTCCACTTGCCAGTCCAAACAGCACTCTCCATCTCAGGCAGTCTTGTAGGCACAAATCTAGTTTGCTTTTTGCAAATAATCACTTACATGGATATAGTGGCCCAGGGACTCTAATTATTCCAAAAAAAACCTAACACAGAACCAGTGTTTCTCAGCTCTTTCAGCATTTTCCAAATTCCACCAACATTTTATTAACTGGAGGTGGATTATTTGGAGAGGTTAATTGCTACTCTCTTTAATCAACTCCAGCAAACACAAACCAGCCAGCCCTAAAGCAGGGCAATTCACATGTGCCTGTGTTGCTGAAGGGAAGCCAGATCCTCGTTGGAGGAAACAGGGAAGACACCCCGGAAATTAACCACAAAATCAACAAGTTCTATTCAGTCACACAGTGCAAAAGCAAAACGAAGAAAGCTGGTTTTGTTAAGTTTGTGCGGCTACCACTGCATGCTGATTAGTCCTTCAGGAGAGGAATGAGCCTTCCTGTCATACCTGCTACTCCTCTGAGGACCTGGGAGTACCTACATCACTGCAAACATCTTCAGGGGAGCTTGGAAGCAGCTTCTCTGTAACACACGATTCCTGATGCAGCCGTACGTCTAGAGAAAGATGCTCAGCCCTCAAAACAGCCTCCTCTGTATGGCAGGTACCTTCATTTTCTCTTCTTCCCTCTGCAGGTTGAAGCAGTGAAGGGAGTAACAGAAGTAAATAAACTATAGCAAAAAAGCTAAAATTGGTCAGTAGAATTTCCTACATACCTTGGTCCTAAGGAATTTTAATCTAAAACGCTTAAGGTCTTAGTGAGCTAGCCATTACCCTTGTATATTATTAACCTACTTCATAACAGCATCAAGAGGCAAAACAAAGCCCTTTATGTACGATCTGTGTCCATGCTGTAGAAAAACACAGGCACAGCAGCCTAAATTACAAACATCCTAAACCCGTTCTGATCCTCCTCAGCAAAGCCTGCAGTTTTTATTACATTAATCTCCCAATAATCTTTCATCATGCCGACTTGTCATTTGGTGATCTGCTTTTCCACAGTAACCAAGGTCACCTGGACTCTCCGTAGGTGCCTTTTCAAGGACCTTCTGCTACGACAACAGGCAGAAGAAAAACAATCTCGCTTTTAGAAATGCTTCAGCAGGCCAACATGAATCTCTTCACTTCTGCTACAGCTCTGACATTCAAGAGCTGGACAGGAGGCTTCTTCACTTATGAAAACAGGTGGTTGATCAGTGATGGCTCTGAGTTACGCATGAAACATTTACGCAGAACAGCTGAAGGCTTCATCACTTTGAATTAGGAACCAGAACATTAAAAACACAAACCCCCTTGTTGAACAACTGTGCAACTCCTATTACTAGCTTAAAAACTTAACAAGGTGGCAGTCAAAGTATCACTGCAGAAAAGTTTTCTATTTTCAACAGTGTCTGACATATCAATACTTTTCCGCAGTTCAGTAATTTATCTCAAACTGCCAAGCATACATCGGCCTTTCAAGGGCAGAGGCACTTGTTCGACTTGGTAAGACTTCCTTCAGTGTCAAGGCAGTATTCCTTAAATGGGGCAAGACCAGGTTGTATCTGCGGGACGTCCAGCTTCAGGCTAAGAGCATTATCCTCCTTCCCGCTCTGCACCAAATCCCACAATGCGGCTGAACCCAAATCCACAATTCATCAGGAAAACACAGCACGGAAAAACACGCTTCAGGTCCCCCCTCTCTGCTCACTCATAACAATCTCACACACAGACACAGAAATAAATGAATTGGAGCACTGTGAGGTTTTAAAAGCAGAACACAGGTTTATTTACAATCAAGTTCTTATGGGCAGCTGAATAAATAAAAACTTTGCCCCATATACTCTAACTCCCCTCTGCAGAAAGTGTCTGAAGAAAAGGCTACGGGAGAGAGATGCCTGTAACAGCAGCTTGCCCCCTAATGCAGCCCCTCCAAAGAACACACCTCCTTAGTAAAACACTACCAGGAAAGAAGAAAATAAAGTGCAAATAAAAAGGCAATAAAACGCTGGTGGCTTGTCTTGAGGACCGGACGACGTGGAAAGGTTTGGCTGGATGAAGTCATGCCAGGTGGCTCACGCCCAGCCACACCACGGTTTTGGATGCTTGAAGAGGGACAGAGCCAAGACCCTGCTCTGTAGCACAGAGGGCTCCAGCGCCAACAGGAATATTGCACGTGTGCTCAAGAAGGGGGCAAGTGGCCTGGAATTGCCAGCACCAAAACAATGGATTTGAGATTTAACCCCACTGCTCCCCTGTGTTCTGTTGACAGCCGCCAGGACAGGACGGATGAACAGAAGAAGGGACCAAACATCTATATTCTGGCACTGGTGTCACAGTATGACTACATTTCTTATCACAGCAGCACAACAGAAGTTGAACTTCTCTCTCCTCACACCCAGTAACCAAACTGCCTATGGAATAAAAAGATTTAAAATCTCCCATTTTGCAATACCCACGCTGCTGAAGGGCATTTTAACAAAAGGGTGCAGAAGTCCTGAAGAATGGACGAGTGCCTTATGAACAGGTAAAAACCAAACAGAAGGAGTTCACTCAACAGTGCTGGAGATCAGTGCTGCGTCAGGATCAGATCAGATCTGAACCGAGACGGTAACTCAAAGGCAGAGCTGCCAGAGCCACAGGAGACTCCCTTCAGAAGCTGTTCCAACACTTCAAACCGCCTAGGACCTGTCCATGCTTCAGGACCTTCTCACCCCACACCTGAAGTAGGCCACAAGAGCAGAACACAGGAGACAGGACATGTATTAAGTCAGCATACACAGTAACTTCTTTCCAACATTTCCACCCCAGAAGTGCTGTAGATACATTGTGTGACAGGGTATTTGGCACAGCTGTCTGGTGAGGAATCCCACTAGTATCTTCAGCTCCACTTGGTGCATCGACACTGCATGTAAAGGCATGACTAAGTAGCATTCTCCATTCAGAACAGCCAATCCCTTGCTGAGTCCGAGTGCCACAGTGCAGTTACGGCCATGAGAAGTCTCTGACTCAGGCTCCTTCTCTGCTGCTTTAAACTTTCCTCCGGAAAGTGAAGCCCGTGTGCCTGTTAACATCCTGACCGAGGATGGATCTGGGCTCGGGGCTCCATTCTGTTCAGCCACGGACCAGCACCACCACACACAGAGACGCTGGATGCTCTGCCTTTCAGCCGCTGCCGAGTTAGAATTCCGACCACAGGACAGCCTTGTTGCCTTTGTCCACACTGACCACATGGGCACCCGCTGGTGACCACGCAACTGCATTGATAGAAGAGCTGAAATGGAAGCCAGGTATAAATTTATAAAAAAACCTAATTCCACAACAGCACTTAACACTGGAATGAAATATTACAGTACTCGATTATCAAAGAGAAAGCACTTTTGAGCTCTCAAGAGACTCAAGTTTTTAATAAGCCTAAGAGAGATAAAGTTTCTTCAGAATACATTCAATGTACTTTATTAGAATCATATCTCCATTTAACAAGTTGAACAATACCAAACCTAACCTTAATTCAGAGAACACTGTCAAGAATCCACAAAGAATCTACATATTAAAAAGTCTTGCACACCGACTTAAGTAGCAGAACTGTATGACTACAGTTGTTTTACAGCTCAGCAGGACTCACAAACCCAGATCCCTGCTTTGGATTACATGGCCAGCGTCCCCTCACCTGTGATGCTTTGCAAGCGTCCTTTCCAACTTCCCAGTGAGCACATTCCAAATGTAGAGGGCCCCGTCAGCTGAACCAGCAGCCACATAGTTGCCGTCAGGGCTATGAGATCAGAGAAGGTGCAGAAAGCAGAGAAGGATTTCCAAGTCAGCAACTTACCGGCATACATCATCATTCCACCTTTGACCTCCTATGCAAGCAACTTGGTATTCAATCACCTTTTAAGAATTATGTGCCACCAGCTGCTAACACTAGGAGGTGGAAGCACTTGGAAATTGGAAAGTTCCCAAGACACTGGATCAACATCTACAGACATATTCTGTTTTGACCAAGAGGTAACTTGTGGCAAATCACAAACTCTGCCCCAATTTTTCTAGCTGTAAATGGGGACAATGAAGCCAAGGACCAGGAATCCCTCACTTTTGCTTGGGGAAGATTTATCAGATATCTCGCTTGTATCTGACCTTACCTGAACACAACTCTTGTCCAGTCAGAGCCACATTTGAATCCCTGGGCACTAAAAAGTTAAAATCAGATAATTGTGAGTTCATTAATAAGACAACGGACTTACAGGTTCTCACTAAAGTGAACAACAAGGATTTCAACATGGTTCAGAATAAGCACTAGCATCCCTTTATCACAATTCACATTTCTTGCAGACCTGTGTCTCAATTACACCTGAATAAATTCTTTCCTCTAGGCCAAGGACTTCTAAGCCATGCTATCTTCTTCAAAGACATAAATGAAGAGATCCACCAGAGCAGATCTTTGCTAGACTCTAAAGACCTTTGCTACTCATGAAGAAAGAAGTTAGGAAATGCTGTCTCCATGGAGACACTGAAAAACACTCCAGCACTGAGGGCAATCTGCAATCCAAAGTTCTGAAATTCCTCATGTTCTCACGGAGAACACACTCACCTAAATGTCTGCCTGACAGCACCAACCCGCAGATCAATGATCTTTAGTAGATCATCACGGGAACAAGTCAAAAGCTCTGTTCGCTCTGAGTTAAGGTCCAGAGCCGTGATTCTTCCAAGGAGCTCCATTTCTTTTACTATGCTTTCAGTCCTAAAGTCAGAAATATGCAAACAGGGGGAAAAAGAAAAAAAAAAAAAGAGAGGGGGGAAAAAAAAAAAGAAAGAATAAGCCAGAGTCCAGAATCCAAACCACTGCATCAAAACTTTGACTTGTCCCAATGTGGAAGAAAAGGAGAAAAATAAAAACACTACTGGTTTGTTCTCACATTTTGGTTCTTTCCCAAGTTAAATCTCACTTTGTGGGTAACATTTTCAGCCCATAGTTAAATGCTATTTTCCTCACAATTCACCCTCTGGAAAACTAAGTAACATCTGGCCAGTCCTGACCAATGCAAAATATTTACAGGCAAGCAGACTGCTTTTTCAGAATAGAAATGGCACTCCCGCAGGAAAATCCCAAACCACAGAACAGTATAAAAGCAGTCTCTTTTCAGTGGCCTTCTGCAACTCTTGTAACAGTCTCACTAGCTTCCAAGCTCAGGAAAGAGTTCCCTAGTTCAGCCTGTACTCAGACAGCAATCCCGTACCTATTCCTACACTATAAGCTCTCTTACAATAGTTTTACCTGATATCCCAGAAACGGATTTTCTTATCAAAATGTCCACTCATTACACACTGCTCAGTACATACGATGTCATTGCAGCTAGATCCTGCAAACACTGTTTTTATACCTAAAAAGGATAAACCAATGGTGACACACTGAAATTTATACTGTACAAACTGATGAAAACAAACACAGAAAATAATCACTACACCACACACACCCAGTGGCCACGCGGAGCAGTGTCCGAGGAGTGCCACAGGGCAGAGAAACTCTCTTACAATAATCCTGACTTAAGTCTTCATCAACCTCTCTGCCCTTCCCAATCTCCTTTGCTGTGGCTAATATCCCTTTAAATGCTCCCATGACAGCTGCTTTATTTCCTCTTTGTATTTAATCACCTATAATTTGCTGCTGTTAAAACACATGAAACTGTCTCCTTGACCTATGTTTGTGGTCCAGGTATCAAGGCAGCCTTGATAGCAACTTCTCTCTCAGTGCAAGCAGGTTTAAAAGCTATCAACACGAGAAAAGCCACAGAAATAAGGCGTTTCTCACAAAGAAAACCGGAGTCCTAGCATTTCCTTCATTTGAGAAGCTGAATTTTTTTTTGATTTCCAAGAGACGTTTTCATCCACATCAGGGTTAAAAACTTTGACCTGGCTCCAAGAGTTTAGCAAAAGACTAAAATACCCACTTCCAGATTGGTAAACAATGGACACTCAGAGAACACAGCTGCTGTGCATGTAATAGCATTAGCAGTGCTTCCTGCATACACATGATTTCTCGTTCTTATTTCAGGTAACAGGCAGGAAGAATCCAATTACTTGACTAACAACAGAAGATGGCACAGTTGCTAGCTTTTGCTTTATTAAACGGGCAAAAAGACGAAATAACCTGGCAGGCGTCAGACTGCCATTTACATACATTAGAAGCGCAGAACACGGATGAAAGACACAAATGAGGGTTTCCTTACAAACTTTGCTGCGGAGGTCCCAGAGCTTGAGGGTCCGGTCGTGACTTCCCGAAACAATGCGTGCATTGTCCAGCAAGAACTTGGCCGACAGAACTTTACCGCTGTGACCTGTCAGGGTGTGCTGAGGACGAGAGATTTACATGGTGAAATTGCGCAGCTCCACTTGCTCCCTTTCCTCATAGCTTACTAGTTCTGCTACTTAACAACTCAAAGACAATCTTTAATCATATTTTGTATGCCTAGTGCATTGCCTGGAGAACTAACAAAAATGAAAAAAATCTACTTAGTTAAACAGATATTACCATTGAAAAGGAGTGTTAAGTACCACAGAGCTCAGCCTGAAGCTGGGAGACACAGGTCACCTTTGCAGTTTCTTCGTCTACTTAGGAAACCTGTGAGCTCTCTTCCTCAACACTCCACACACCCACAGTTCATGGACAGATGGCAACTGCAACACAGCCTTGCAGAAGTGACAAGGAAAAGGGGTTAAAGCCTGCTGAAAATGGAAATTGTGCCTTCAGGGTTTTATAATAAGTCTCTCTCAAGGACACAACCATGTATCTGATCGCAGCTGTTGCTACATCTTCGAGCCTGAAAGCTCAGACAACCAGGAATTTCAAAAAAACTCCTGCAGCAGTTTCAGTAACTGCAGGAGGAGGCTCTGTGGGGCTAAGAAGAACATGAACCACATTCACTTCAAATTGCTGAATATTTGCAAACTAAATCACAAAACAGATAATGAATGAATGAATGAAGAATTGTGAAAAACCAGAGAAATCTTTGGTATATAGTTATAAATACTCAGATGACTCAAATCGCACAAAGCAATCTGGGCTTGGGAAATACAAAAGAAAAGCTACTAAAAATGGAAAGGAACGGTACCAAAATTTGGAAAAAACCAAACCTGATACACAGTACAAACTCGGAAAGACCAAATTATCCCATAAAGACCACTTGATCCTAAGAGAAGACAAAAACTTGAGAAAAGAGGATCTAAACTTTCACTCTGCATCTCTTTTCTGCTCCTGCTGCACAGTCATTACATACAGATAACTATTATTATTATTTATTTGGAAGTTTGTGGCAAAATTTACCATGATTTGAGCCCTGACAAATCCATACCACACATTCAAAACAAAAACTGCACTACTTGATCTCAAGCAGACAGTGAATGTCCTTGCCCAAAGCTAGTAGTCACAAAAGACCAAGAGATTACAGGAAGACAATGTGAAGCCAGGTGGACGTTACAGGGGACAACTCACTTTTTGTAGCAAACAATCTACAGTTTGCTAAACTTTCATTCATTAGAATTCACATCCAATAGTAGGTTTGGCAGCCAAAGAGAAGCTGCAGAAGAATTGATATTCTTCACTTTCTTAAATGAGAACTACCCAGGGAACTACAACGCAACTGTAGGTTATAACTGACACGTGAAATGTCAGTAGATTCAGAACATCACAGTAGCATCTTCCTAAAATAAAAAGTTGAGGAAAAGTGTACATAGGAATGACAATTACAGAAAACCTCTTAGAACACTGAAAAGAAAATTTTTTGGGGAGTCAAAGGTAAATCCTTCTTTAAACTAGAGCTATGTGTTGGAGAACATGAGTGCAAAGAAACTGGGAGAAGAGGAAGTTTTCAAAAGCCATTGAGAATAAAGTCAAAGACTTGTAGGCCTGCTGCCTTTAACAGCTAGGCAAAGGACTCCCCTTCAAGAAGGATGCTCCTGACTTAAAAGCAAGAATCCCTCTTTGCCTTCTGCAAACCCTTCATCAGCAGTCCTCTCCTTGGACTGGGGCTAAAACATTTAACTCACTCTCCATAAACCTTAAACGTAATTTAAATTTCCACAGAGCAGAACACAAAAGTGTATTGGGTTCCCACCATAAGGTTTTGCTCGTGAGGGGGAGGCCTGTACTGGGAAAATATGAAGTAATTGGAGTTTCCTGCAAGGCTGTGCAGAGACCAATATCGTATTTTAGGTCTTGCTTTGAAGACCATTAAGCAAAATAAAAGAACCTGTTAATGAAAAGTGTCTGTAAATGCCCAACTTCCAAAACTGCCACATCCGCATTTGATGAAACTGGAAATATAAGAAAGAACCAGCTTGAGCAGTGCCTTTCCTTCAAGAGACTCACCCGTAATCGATTGTCATCAACCGTCCAGATTCTGCTGGCAAAGTCATTTGAAGCTGCTAAGAGGTAAGAACCCTGTGAACACAAGATTAATTGAAAACTGCTTCTGCAAGCCAATATGCAAATTAAAGTCAGAAATACTTCCAATAAATCATTAAAGCCACATTAGTGCCATATTTCCAAGGGGAAAAACAACAAATAAACCCACATAAACACAGTAGCATATACCAGCAAAGGAAAGCTACTGTAACAATTTTCCAGCAGGCTATGGCTGTCTCTTCATCATCAAAACATGACAGTGATTTGTACAACCATGACTACAGATAAAAGCAAGTAACAATAATCAAACCAGAAAGGACATTCTCCTTTTCCTTCTGCTCTAGCGAGGAAACAGGTTCTAGTTTACCTTCATCTATAGTAATATTTTTTCTCTTTTGATTTTTGAGAGGGAAAAAGCCCACTGTGCTGTGACAGCTGAGAAACTGCTGGGAGAAAAGGCCATGGAAGTGCAAGTCTTAAGATAATCAGACCTTCTACTATTCATCACACGCCTCAGCAGAGCACTTATGGAAATAAGCTTCACAGAAATAAACGTGCAGTTTATCTGCTTCTTTTGTGCTGTTATGTCAGCTTTAGCAGGAAGCTGAAGACTGATTTCTTACTTTAGAGAAAGCCTAGTATATTTTATTGCAGTTTTATCACAACAGCCCGGAACAGCCAATGTCTGAGCTGCATATCATCTTCTGAGTTGTAAAGCAAGGATTACAGACCACAACACATCAAATAGATCATCTGTACAATTTTTAACTACTTGCAGTTACTCTCATAGGCATTTTAACTCATTTCTTAGGTAACTCAGAATAAAAATAATTTGGGTAATTAATTCCCAATTACAAGCAGTGGATATTGCACAGATACTCACGGCACTATCAAATTCTATGCTTGTAATCCCAGCATTACTACCGGAGAGGGAACCTTTGGGCTCACACCTATCTGCAGGGAAAGATGAACAGAACTTAAGCAATGGATTAGAAAAGAGAAGCTGACACAAAGTGAACTCTAATATGAGTTTGTTCAGCATCCCACCACAGTCCAAAGCAAAAAGATTATTTACCTCCCAAGACTTCCCAAAGCTTAACCCTCCGGTCCATGCCTCCTGTTGCGAGTAACCGGGAGCCAGGGCTGAACTGCACAGCATTCACCTCCCCATCATGTGCGTCCTGAGGAGCGGGAGGAACAGAAGAGCCACCCAACGTGGAATTAGCACAGGCTGAAACCCCCCGGATCAGAAAGCTATAGAACCTACAGGTTATACAGAACCACAGCTGCAGATCTTTCAACAGTATATAGGAAACAGAGCCACAGACCGAAACTCTACTGTGGTTGATGGAGTACAAAACAGAGCAAAAAGGTTGAGCCCTTATCTAAAGAAAAAACTAAAAGCACATAAAGAAAAACACTAGCAAGGAGCCAACGGTGATAATAAACTGCGAGAAGCCTTATTATGATTCGTAAGTTTAGGCTTTATAAGATAAGGCTTTTAAGTTACACCAGAAAAAAAAAAAGACAGAAGACAGTTAACAGGTGATATGCTGTAGAAGGAAACTAACTTTTCATTTCTCCATCTAGAGCCAGCCATGGAACATGATCCACTCAGTTCATGCAACCACAGAACACTCAAGTCAGGCTTGAGTTAGGAAAGCCTGCTAGAAAACAGCATAACAGGTTAACTGCATTCAGTTAGTCTACCGGTGATACTACCACTTTATGTCAGTGATTAAATAGCACCAGCAGCAGCCCTGAGAGCACATTTTCCCACAGACCTTGGGCTTGAACTGTGGTTCCTATTTGGAGGTGCAGTGACTCCTCTGCACCCCTGCTTTCTCCCAGCTTAATGTTTTGAAGCTTGAGTTGGCCAGTTAATAGTGATTCTTAACCTTTTAAAACCTACGAGAATTTTAAGATTCCTTCCTTTTTTTTCCCCCGTTAATTTCACGGCTTTATACTACTTCCCCACACAGTATTAGTACCACACATTCTTAATTCATTTGCTGCATTTCTTTTTAAGTATTTTCAGTAACTGCTCTTTCAAAATCAGTTTTTCTGGAAACTTGTATTTTTCTGGAACTTGTTGCTTGAATTTGGTCTGCCAGCTCATATTTAGGGGTCATCATACTTCAAATCTGATCTCTCTACAAGGGCAGAAGAGCCATTCAGAACAGAACCGGTCGAAGGTCTTGCCTAGAAACTAGGCTCAAGAATGATGTCTGAAGTGACTGCCCTTGCCTTCCCAAGCCTGTTCTCCTCATCTCTTCAGAAGTGAGCTGAGTTTCCTCCCTTGCCTCTGCCAAATTTCTAGCACAGAGTGCTTGCACTCATTCCTGGAATGCTCTCCTGGACCTAGACATGTCCTCACACTCCACCTGGGCTCCAAATACAGTTGCTGAAACATAAGAGATCATCTCCACAAGTAACCTACAGATTCCCATGAAATGACCTGGGACTTGGCCGTGCTAATCACGCATCACCTCCATACAGCCGTTCTGACAGGGTGACTGCTGCAGCTGTTCTGGCTCCCGTTGCAAGATGAGGAACTGGAACAGGGCGGCATGCCTCACACGGCTAAGACAAGGGGCAGCACAGTCTACTAGGGTTTGCTCCATCATATGGAGAAGAGAGGCTGCACTGCTCTTGGAAGTTCAGATGATCGAGAGAAAGGTGAAACCAACATAACCTCTCACATGGTTCCTGAAAACCTCACAGAGATAGCTTTGTAACACCTCTCATGATAAAATTAGCCAGGATTTACACCTGTTGATCAACTGTCCTTGCTGTAGATGGCCAGGAGTGGAGAGGCTGCAACACATATCAAAGCCTCCTCTGATGTTCCTGGTTCAAGCCAGCTTCAGGCTGCCGCATAAGTTATGACCTTATTCTCACTTAAGGTAGCATGAGCCACTCCATGACTGCCACTAGAGAAGATGGTAACAAGGCAGGCTAGGCACACAAGCCTCCATGCTGCAGTGAGCCACTCTGTTACTACGGATTAAAATTCTAAGTCATTTCATGTCCATGCAATATCCAAATCCAGAACTGGAATGCCTGAGAAAGATGAACAAAACTCAAGAGGAATGTTAAAACAAGGAGTTGCATCACAAGACAACCCATCACAGTTATCTTTCATTCGGAAAGCAACATCCTTGACAGAAATTCACATTTGGCCTTGTGAGGCCAAAACAACACATAAAGGAGGTCTCAGCTTGAAAACTTTAGATCACACACAGCAAACAAAGACACCCCAACACCACGAGCTCCTCTGAACCAGATCTGTTGGATGACATTCAGTGCCACAACTCCCTTCACTGTGGAGAACTGGAACCGAATTAATCCCGAACTGTCAGCAATCTCTTCCTCCATCACAGCTCTACTATGGCATGACAGAACAGGGACTGCTGGGAGCCGAAAGGGTAATGGAGTGTAACTCCCCTGTGCCCTCAGACCTTTTACTTGTCATCATCGACCTCAGCAAGACAGACATCAAGTACATGGCTCCAAGAAGCATTTGGATTAAGAATTAAAAGGAATGAACTATGCTACCAAATCAAGAATTCCTTCCTGTTCTTCAGTGCTTATACAAAGTTTCAGGATTAGGACTCACTTTCTCCAAACACAGTAAAAGGAACTGTAAAAACAAGAATTTCTTCTTCACTTACAAAGACACATATGGCAGTAGTGGGCACTCTCACTTCTTTACTGGCACCTGGATGTGGCTCTACATTATCCTGGGGAGCAGGGAACGAGGACAAAGAACGCCTCCTGAGATGAAACAAAGTAGAAACATTTCAGAACAAAAAGTCAACACCATTTCTTGAATTCATCCAGGTCTGTACCTGTCACTCAACTACACTGTACAGCAATTAAAAATGGGGGAAGGAGTTTTTAAACTTTCTTTTATCCTATCTTTCAAAAATTACATTTGTTATACAACCCTACATCCACTTCTGATTTCAGATATTTCATAGTAAGCCAGATAAGTTACCCAAATTGATTACTGACCTTATTTTTGAGCTGTCTACTTTTTTTTTCTTTAACAGGAAAGGAAAACATGGGAATGACTGAAGCTGGGTTCGCCTGGAGAGACGGAGACTCCATCATTAGGTCTAGGGAGACTCAACACCACTGCAGCAAAATCCCAGGCAGCAAAACGCTCAGCTCAAAAGCTCGGACTGCACCACTTAAGCAGAGACCATCCACCTACTGCACAGCTTAATTCAGAAGGACTGGCTCCACTTTGGATACTAAGGACAGAACCCAATGACTTATTCTTAAATAACTCTATTAAAGGAGCAAAGTGCAGTGGAAAGTAAGAGCAAACCCCATGTGTTCTCTCCATCAAGAGGGGCTCATTGCCCCCCTAATTGTAGACAGTTTCTATGCAGTGTTATCAACATCTGAAATCTTATCAGGGTAATGCAGCTTCCACATTACTTCAATGGAATACATTCACATGCCGGACGAAGAGCGGAGAATATTTTCACCTGGCAGCATCAGAAGATTGATGTCCCAAAAGGGGAGACTCAGACAGACTGGAGGGAAAGGTCAGAGGTCAGCACACGGCAAGATGGAAGAAACAGGAAGTTGAGGAGAACAAAAAAAGAAAAAAAAAAAGAAAGGCAGAAGCTAGAAGAAAGGCTGAAATTATCTGTTTGTATGCCCTGCATCACCAAGACTCTGGTGCACATTGAAACCAATATACAAAACAAAGAGGTGAAAGTGTTCTAACCTACCCAAAGATATTAGTGATAGAGTCCAGAAGGCCTCCAGCTGGTTGGGAGAGTCGCTTACTGAAGGAGGGGAGGACAGGTTTAAACCTGGTGAATAGCTTCTCCACATAAAGATCAACACAAACACATTTCATAGTAACAACTCTCTGGAAAGACTCCCTCCCCTGCAGACCCAGTCCGAAGACAGAAAACACCAAAGGCAGGCATCAGTTCCAAAGTCACCAGTAGCTACAACTCAGAACATAATTTATAAGTGAGGTTTCTTCAACTTCCCTCAACCTCAAACCTCTGAATTAGTGGGTTTAGATGTAACAGTCTGTTAACTCTGGAGTTTCAGCCAAACTAATCCGTGCTCTCATGTAACTACCTCTTACTTTCCACTCACCGCTTTTTTAGAGACAGAAAAAGATGCTTTTAATCTAGGTGAAGGTGACTTTCAGCACTTCAGCTAAACCCAAAACCCTGGCTATCTGCAAAGTCACAGTATAGCAACAGGCATAATCCAACAGGCACTCTAATACCCATGTTATTGTCTATTTTGTTTTTAAACCTTTGCTTTTAAGATTAAATGAATTTTTCAGACATTACTGTAATTTAGTTAAAACAGCAAAGGAAAAACAGCACATCTGAAGCAGGGTAACAGAACGCAGCACATAAGCTGCACGCTGCTCTGGTGGAAGTACTGAACTGTGTTGTAGCTAAAGGCAAGTAAAAACATTCCCAACATCGTCCCAACTCTCCTACACCCCTTGTTCTTCCTCAGTGACAAAAACCTCTTCGTCTACAAACCTGGACGTTCGGCTGACATTCCGCACTGGAGATGTTTCCTCAGCTGTGTCAGAGGTTTCATCTGCAAGCACTTCGATATCATCATCCCTGCTGAAATGAGAGAAAACGCCTAATTTTCAATCAGCCAGAGCTTCCTATGGAAACCACCTGCTGAGCCACATGAACTCAATGGACAACACTGTTCAAGGGTCTGTTGCGTTGTCACCCAACGCAGCCCTAGGTTGGATTTGCTGCAGTAACGCGTAGGTAGATCCAGACAACACAAACGCTGATCTAGTTGTCACTGCCAGAAATGTCCGAAGCGTACAATGTCTGAAAACAACTACACACAGCACCTAAACCTCAGGCTTTTCTTTCCAGCTGTCAGTCACACTCATCACTGACAGCAGGGTTCAGTTTCCTCACCCCCTCTGTACTTATGTTGACAGGCAGGCTTTCCAGATACTCTGCACTACAGGCACGTTTCATCTTGCAACACTACATACGGCATTAAAATGATCCATCACATCTGAGCAAGACTTTGCTACAGAGTGAATTATGTTACATAACAGCAAAAACATGAGCTGTTGCAAACCCAAATACAGGTGATATCCTACTTTCACAGCATCTTTTTTGCTGTTTCAGAACAAGGAAGTATTAAACAAAGCACAAGAGTCTGAATTTTCCTTCATCTGCGTCAAAGTCATCCTGTTACTTTCCATATGGTTGTACTTCGAGTTCTGCTCCATTAAGTACGAGGGATGTTCTGCTTCACTTCATTAAAGTGTTGGTGTACAACTAAAAAGAAGTGTCAGGTTCCAATACACACACGATAAATTCACCCAGCTAAACTACTCAGCTCATGCTACAATGTTTTTTCCCTATTAGTCATCATGGAAGTCTAGTATTTTTTCCTTCAATGATGATTTTTCCCCCACTGCTCATTTTGCCGGACAAACTATTTTTAAACTCTGTCAACCTGCTGACATTTGACTGAAGAGGAAGCTTTAATTCAGCATTTAAGTAGGAATAAACCAACATAACACTCAGCTGCAAAAGAATGGAACAAAATGGGACCATTTTTAATCTCTCAATTCAGAATACAGCTGCACTTTAAGTTCTATGATTTTGGAGGACAGTGTATATGAAAAGGCTACGGAAAATACATGCGCTGATGGCAAGTATCAGGCTGATCTTTCAGTAAAACACTATTAAATCCTGCTGATACTTCTTTTTTAAAATCTCAAGTTTGAGCTATTAAAATTGCATGTAGCAAAAGAAGTTTCCATGTTAAAATATTTTTAAAGTGAATACAAACACCAAAGTACACTCCTTAGAATGCTATTTTCCCCTTCAGTAAGCAGCACATTTTCACAAACCCTCTAAAATCACAAAATCAAAAAGGGACCAAAACCATTTGTGAAATAGAGTTTGAGTAATCTACAGAAGCAATTATTTCCTTTTTCTAAACAGGCTTATTAACCTCAGTACCTCGTATCAAATTATTTATGAAACACTGAGACCATCATCCCCACCACAACAGGAAGTAAAATATTTAAGTTGTGCTGCAGCTACCTCTGAGCTCGGCTCTAAGGCAGGAACAGCTCACTTTGGGTAACAGAGAGGAAGAGGCTTAACAGGGAAAGTGGCCACAGCCCTTACACATGGGTTTCCCCTCTCAGTGCAACATTATTTATTGAAAAGTCTAACAGTCCAAGACATTCTGTGTGCATTTACATCAGATAACACGGACAAAAGGGCTATCACTATCCTTACGAGATAGGAAGACTGTCCCCTGGTCCGTGACACAAAAGTGAGCAGTAAATTTGTCACGGAGAGGCACACCTCAACGAGCCAAGGGAATGGAAGCGCTGAAACATTCCTTAAAAAAAAGGCAAAGCAAACTGCGCTAACTAGTTATATTGTTGATTGCAGCTTTCATTTTCCTTCCAAATGCTACAAGCTCTCTCATGCTCCCCGACACACACCCTTCCCACCCACCCCAGACTTCTGCGAGGGCCCCTTCCAGAGCAGACGCCTGGCTCCCACCACGTGCGAGGACACGCAGCACAGAGACCTGAGGCGATCCCACAGCACCACCAGAGACAAGAGGTACCGAGCAGCAGGCCACACACCGCTCCGGCAACTCTCTCGGTGGCTTCCAGTACCAGGTGTAGCTTTTCTTGGCTGACGCAAGTGGCACCAATAACCCCATCAACCTGGTGCAAAGCACCTACGCCATCAACTGCCCACTGCAAGCAGCTGATTAAATCCCACCCAGGAGTAAAAAGAACAGCAGAAAGAGACTGTCTACCTCTGGCTGGCCCGGAAAAG